ATAAGAAAAAAAAATTTCAAAGACATGTGAAGTTCGCCAACACGCATTGGGGCAGCGGGGCGGACACTTCCTTGCCCTAAAACCCTCTCAGAAATGAGGGGAGGCCTGTGCTCAGCAGTGGGACGTATATAGGCTGTAACTTTACTTTTTTACATAATATAAGATACACAAGACAATCCCTCAGTGGTTTGCTCATATTTTCACATTTCTTACTTAATCTTTTTTAAATTCTACTTTTAGGAACATTCGTAGTTCGGTTTATTCATTTCTGATCTTATTAACATAAGATAAAGTACCCGGTTGACCGAGCTTTGCTCGGTATTTTTCGCTCGTTTTTTTAAATTCGTGTTTTGAAAAATAGATTTAGATACAAATTACATACTGATGAAATACGAATAATATTTTTTGATCTTAGCGACATAATAGAAAAAACTGAACTGTTTATTTGAATAAAAAAATCAAGAGTGCAATTAGTTTAATTTAAATTTTCGTGTTTTTAAAAAATACTAAAAAAAGGGCTCGAAAAAATAGAATTTCTCAAAAAAAGAAAGGAACTTGGAAAAAAAATTAAAAAAAGTCGGTCGGACGGTCTGGGCTCGAAACATGGTATTACGATTTTGTGACCGCCCAATATACCAATTAAGCTATTTGTAATCATTACAACGGTCAAAATTTACCTTCTTATTCTAACGATATTGTAGCAGTTTTACATCCTAAAAACACGGACAAAAAGACATTTTCTAAAAATAAATCCTAGCTAGATCGATTTATTGCCCCCGAAACTCCCTGCACACAAAATTTTATGAAAATCGTTGGAGCCGTTTCCGAGATTCCGATTTTATATATATATACAAGAATTGCTCGTTTAAAGGTATAGGGATATTACAGATAGAAACATTAACCCCCCTACATTATGTCAACAAATTAAATTTCTCGTCATGTAATCTGTTGAATATTTTATTTTATTCCAGTGGCGTCGCCCTGGTGGCAAAAAAAGTAAGCTCATTATCAACCGATTTTGATGTTTTTTTTAAATTAAATAGTTTTTTTTATAGAATACGGGTGACAAAAGCACACACTACCTGATAGTAAGTGGATCTGTGGCCTATAGACATCTAGGTATATTTATTCTTGACTAAGAATCTAAATGCAGGTGCTTTGTCACCCCCGAGGACCAAGATGGACTACCTCATTTCCAGTAAAAAGGGTCTCCGGTTTTCTACACTCACCATATGAAACAGCACAGCAACAAGCTGCTGTTTTACGCTGGAGTTCTATGAGAGCGTGTTCCTACCCCGGTCGAGCCAACTCATTCGTGCTTCAACCATTATATGGTCAAAGCGTGGCTCTACCATGTGAGAACTACATAGTGTTAGGTGCACGGTTATGCTTCAGGGGTAGTAAAATTGGGGATGGGTTGGCTATAGACATCTGGTACTTGATTTTAATAATGTTTTTAGTTTAGCAGGCTTGTTAGGGTTAAGCTTGAACCTATTACACTATTTTTAGATGTCGGAAATGCGTTTTGAATTAATTACGATAAAAATAAATTTCACTAAAAATTGCTTATAACGAAACGCAAATATAACGATCTGGTTTAGTATTATAAAGTAGACGTCCGGTATTCAATGTTGTTTTCAATTTAGGTTTGTCAGGGTTACGCTTGAACCTTTTACACTGTTTTTGGATTTCGGAAATGAGCCTTTTGAATTAATTACGATATAAAAGAAATTTCACTAAAATCTGCATATAACGATACGCAAATATGTCAACTTGTTTTTTTTTAAATAGATACCCATAAAACTACCTGCTACCTGGTTGACAAATGTCCGGAAGGACATGCTAAAAGCTCGGCCTTACAGAAGATGATGCTTACCAGCGAATTGAATGGCGCCGAAGGATTAAGAAAGCCGACCCCGCGTAACGGGAAGAGGCGAGGGCAAAGAAGAAGAAGATAAATACACCCATAAAAAAGTTAATTACTCAGACCCAGACAATCCATTTGTGGCTTAAGAAGGGACTCAAATAAAACAGATTGAGTCGCAGTGGAAAGCAGCCAAGAGGTTTTTCAGAAAACAAAATTATAACAATTCACATTAAATTGGTTCATTTACAACCATCAAAGCAGAGTTTAGGGCAACCTGACTTTATAGATAAGACTTGTTGAATCTGTTCTAAAACCGAATCAGCACACCCCCGACTCCACATGGTTTTGCCTACCCTATGTACTCCTAGTGTTTTTGTAAAGCCGTAGGCGCGAAGGGAGTGCTCTCTGCCCCCGCTCGCTGTAACAAATTGCAGGCACCCGAGAAAGCCGTAGAGGATGAGGCTAATCGCCAAAGGCGACCAATAAAACAAAGCTGCGGAGGTGAGCATGGGTTGCCAGAGATTCGCTACGCAAGGGCGAAGGGGCAGCACTTCCCGCAGCACCGAAACTGTCGCAGAATTAACTTTGGATCAATCTTCCGGTATAGAAAGTGGGGTTACGATTTTACAAAACAAAACATTACTCATAATCTTAAAATATACATTTCTGAAAGGGGGCAGGGAGGGTAGCGGGAGCTTCTCCTGCACCCACCCCCTCCCAACCCCATACGTAAGTACCGGATGTATAGTGAAGCTAATGTAACATAGCCATTTAAATTATGATATCCCTTAACCCAATCAAAACGTTAAACTAAAATCAAAATTCAAAAAACTAAGAATATAAAATAATTTCACATTCTGAAGACTGCTTTAATTCTCCATCACATGATGTCTTAGTACCAAATTGAGGATGTAAAATTATTTTATTCTTTATAGTTCTTCGAAGTCTGCTTTACTTAAGTCAAAAATATACTTACTAAGTTAATTTTTATTCAAGAGCTTCAATAATTTTAAGCAGTACTTAAGTAAAATTTTTTTTACAGGATAGGGTGACAGCAGTCACACAGTCCACCTGATGGTAAGTGGTTGCTGACCCCCATAGACATGTACATCTATCCTCGATTAAATCAAAATGTAGATGTGTTGTTACCTGTGAGGGCTAAGATGGAATGCCTCTTTTTCAGTAAAAAGGGTCGCCGGTTCTTTACACTCACCATAAGAAACACAGCAACATTAGGCTACTATTTCACGTTGGAGCTAGGCTCTCATAACGCAAAAAAAAAACGATTCTTTCAAATATATCTCTCCTCTGTAACCCGTATTCCAATTTACATAATTTTCTCAGCAATATTTGTAGCTCAACGCAGACAAGGTTTATAAAAAATAAAAATCTGAATTTGTCTCAAAGAAATAACTAAAAACTAAATTGTCTATGGGAAAATACATGTAAAGCAAAAGCGCGCACTTTAGACTTTTAATCCGCTCCGTTTATGAAGCTTAGCAAAAGGTTATTAGGGTAGTAAGGTAAGTGTATTTATTTACCTTTGCACCTGCATCAGCCCTAGATGATATACATTTTAAAAGTTTTCTGTTTATATTATATCATTTTCCTGGAACAGTAGCAGGTGTAAAGGATAGGAAATGGACTTGACAAATCTATCGAATTAAAAAAATGTTATAAATGTTTATTTATTTCAACCTTGGTATCATGGCAAGCCCCAACAAGCACATTTTAAGTTTCATTTCATTGAAACCCTGAAGTTATGAAGTTTTCCCTAAAATTTAACCAATATTTTATATTTATTTGTAAAGGAAACTGACAATAAAACTGCAAAAATTTTTGATGTAAAATGTGGTAGATCATGCCAATATCAAACAGGACCTTGTAAAAGTTTTGTAAATTCCTGTCATAGCCATAAAAAATAGAGTATTTTTGCATTTTTAGTTTGGTGTTTTTTAATGTGTTAATTTGTACAACTCAATGAGGATATATCAAAAATTTTAAAATGTATAAATTCTAAAGTAACAGATATGACACAATATTACCTATTTTTTAATTAATTTACCTATGTAACTTTGGAAACTATATTACTCAGAATTCTTATAATGCCACTGACGCAATGACCTAAAAAATGTGTACTTTTAAGCAATAAAAATATTATTTAAAAAATCTTTTCTGTCATTTTTATAAATGTTTATTGTATCTATAAATGCTTCTAGCTCCTTAGCAGGTGAAGTCAACATTATCTTTTGGTGAATAAAAGGCAACAATGTTTCCAAAGGCAATGGTGCTGACAATCTAGCCCACAGCAGCTCAGTATGAAATAGAATGGTTTTTATTCAATATAGCATACTTATTGAAATTCATTAAAACTTTAGCACTAATTCAGTAAAAAAATTCTGGAAAGGACCAGCATGAAAACCAATAGGACCCTTTTTAAAAAAATTTATCTACAACATAAATTATATTATACAATTAAGGGAGAGACCAGAAACAGCGGGGTAGCTGTCACCTCATTCCCTCTTGTTTAGCTGACTTGAATAACTCAAATCCATGTGAAATAAATAATGGACAGCCCTGTTTGCTAAGCATACATGAAGTGCAAAGGGACATCGGCTTATGTCCTACTCTGAAGCACTGCAGTCACCTGTTAGGCTAAGTAACTTAACCTGTCAGGTTGTATTAGTGCGACTGCTGATCATGAGGTCCTGGGTTCGAATCCCTGGTCAGACCAAAAAATCAATTATTGAGTTTTTCCATCAAGAAATTCTCAGTAACTGTCCAGTCAGTTAGTTGGCGGTGCCTCAGAAAATCACGTAAAGCTGTTGGTCCTGTGTCTGATCTCTCTCCGGTCGTGTCGGTTTACCATCCCATTGGATAATGAGTGAGGGAATAGTGCACCTGTGCTTGCACATACACTTGGGCACTATAAACCTGCCCTGCGCCGATGGCTAACCCCTGTTGAGGCTGGCCGCCTTGACCGAAATTCGGTCTGGAGGACACTATTATTATTATATTATAGATTGAAATCTTTATGAACTTTAATAAACCATTAATTTTATAATTTATCTGAATTTAAAATAAATGAAAAACATTTGTAATTTTTAATTTTATTTACCCAGCCTAAACAAAATTAACGGTTGGATTTAGCAACACGTTCCAACTCGTCCTTCTTCTTGATAGCGTATGAGTTTGATGAACCCTTCGCTGCATTGATAAGCTCATCAGCGACACATTCAGCAATGGTCTTAATGTTTCTGAAAGCTGCTTCACGTGCGCCAGTGCACAGCAGCCAGATGGCTTGGTTCACACGACGGAGGGGGGAAACATCAACAGCTTGACGACGAACAGTACCAGCGCGACCAATTCTAGTGGAGTCTTCACGAGGGCCAGAGTTAATAATAGCGGTAGCCAGAACCTGAAGTGGGTTCTCTCCAGTTAAGAGGTGGATGATCTCGAAGGCATGTTTCACTATGCGAACAGCCATTAATTTCTTACCGTTGTTACGGCCATGCATCATTAAGGAGTTAGTTAGACGCTCGACGATAGGGCATTGTGCTTTTCGGAATCGCTTGTGTGCATACCTACCAGCAGAGTGCGGCAGGTACTTGGCGTCTTTTTCTTTTACAGAAATATAATCCTGAACAGACATATCTGGAACCTGGACATCGTAATAGCTCCATCTCCCGAATAATTTGATTTCAGGAATGTCAGCCGGCTGGGGTAGTGGCATGGTGTCCACGGCCATGCTGCCCGCTTCCATGCTATCGTCGTTCCAGTTTTCCTCGGTCATTTTTAGCACCTAAAACAATCGAAAACACTTTTATTGGAATGTTGTTCCTATTTTATTTGCAAACAAAACGTATTTATTCCACAAAACACGCACTTTTTGCTAAACTAAATTTATAACCTCGTGTTGTCAAAAGAACACGATAAAAAGGAAGTTGCTCGCATGTACAATTTACAAAGACAAGACATCGGCATCGGAAATATCATGTTGGCAATACGAGAAAATGTTACCAGCACAGAACATTATTACTCCCATAGATTTACATATACTAGATCTATGACGTAGACAGAGAAACCTATAGACAAATTGACGCCTTCTTTCGCATTCGCACACGAAAAAGATAGATTTATGCATACGTCTTGCATAGAAATGAGACAGAGTGGTGTGATTGTTTGTCCCTTTCTCCGTGCCGGTTTTTTGTTTAGCAAACTACACTTTGCTTAACAACTTTGACAGTTCGTAGCGATCTAAGGAGTTTACAAGTTGGTTTAAGTAAGAAAAAAGTGTTTTGTGAGCTTAAGATTGGTGATTTTTGTTAATTTCAGTTTTTAGAACAATTAAATTTTTTATCTAAATATGTTTAAAAGTCATAAAGATTATTGTATAACCTAAAACAACGTTATTGTCCTTTCTCACTCGAGGCCACGCTAATCTATAGGTTTCTCTGTCTACGATCTACGATTATTCCTAGCGGAGGTTACCAGTAAGCGACTAAAAAAGGAACCTACGACCATGGATTCGAACCCAGGACCTCATGATCAGCAGTCGCACTAATACAACCGCTAGACCAACGAGGCAGTCAATCTATAATATACATATTTAGTGTTAATTTGTGTTAGTGTTACATGGGCTGCAACTATGACTATTTGAGCTATCCAAGCTCCGTGGGTAATCCTAAAATTTTAATGTTGGCAAAGATTCTTGGGTCCTGACAGGTTAAGGTGCTTAGCTTAACAGGTGACTGCAGTGCTTCATAGACAAGCCGATGTCTCCTTAGCAAACAGGGCTGTCCATTATTTATTTCACATGGATTTGAGTTATTCAATTCAGCTAAACAAGACAGAATGAGGTGACTTAAAAAAAAAAATATATATATATATATATATATATATATATATATATATATATATATATATATATATATAACCAGTCTCGTGGGGAATGTCCATAGATAGTGGAAAACAACGTGTTTTACACTATCTATGGTCTACTTGCGTAACTTTACTTATAAAAAACCTAATGGAATACCAGCGTAGAATACCATCTTAATCCTGCAGTGTTTCTTATAGTGAGTGTAGAGAATCGGAGACACGTTTTACTGTAAACGAGGCATGTAGAGGGTGACAACTCGCCTGCAGTCTGACTTAATAGCATATACAACGCGCCTGCAGTTTGGTTCTTAATCGATGTTAAAAGTAGACGTCTATGGGCCACAGCATCCAATTACCATCGGGTGGACAGTGTGTTTGCTTCTAACCTTTATCCTATATAAAAAAAAACTAAAACCATTTATACGTCCTTTTTTATTCATATTATAATATTAAAAAAAAACTTTTACGTATTTATATATAAAAATATCACATTCATTTCAAAGTTAGATTACAAATCGGTTTACAATTTTTTTCTAATCATTTGGTTCCATACATATCTAAATTTGAAATTATTTTACAGTGATTTACTATTGTAATCCACGGAAACACTGTAGTATTAAGTGTTTTATTGAAAATGGTGTCATATTGATGTATGATATGACTGTGATATGCGGATCGATATCGATAATGTTTCATTGTTATTCATTGAAGAATATTAAAATTTATCATCAAACACTCAACTAAATAAGATTACCTATATTATAATAAAAGTGTGAATGAATTTATTTCAAGAAATCAGCTGTTGGAGTGAACTCCTTCCAACGTAAGTAATTTAATCACATTTTCCCAAAACAGAAATACATCAGCTACACTTCTGCAAAATTGTTAGGCCGCAAGGTGGTCCATTTATCATTTTCATTTTGAAGTATATATGATTTGCTTTCAATTTATTAGTCATATAAAATAACACGTCTTCCTGTAATTTTTTAGTTTTTGGATGTATGAGCACTGACTTTGATTTTTATTTTGAAAAAAGTTTCCGTAATGTTGAACAGAACTACGCACTAATTTAAGCATGTGGCAAGGATCAAGACGAAAATATATATTTGCTGCCCCGAAGCTGAATCTATGATAGTAGTTTGCAGTCTGAGTAGATTGTAACTCTTCCGCCATGGCGAGGTTGGTCTTTGTACAACCACATGTTAACGTTTTTATTTTTATGCCTGTTTCGTGAACAAAATGGAAAGCTTGTGTTACTAGCCGTGCTTTTAATTCAGCCTTTAATCCAACCCTTAATAAATCTTTTGGCTATATGTACTTTCTTGTTGTGTTTATACAGATCAATAAAAAGACAAAAGCGTAAGTAGCTTCATCGGAATCATCGGATATGTTAATCAAACCCGTAGTCGATATAGCCATAATACGTTTGGCTGATAGCATGGTATTCCGACAATTGCTTAATTTTAATTTCATCCACCACAAAGGTACCATAATCTTTAATATTAGGGTTACTCTCCCCTCTCAATTTTAATTCCGTCAGCTACCCTAGTCGGCCGTCGATGGTACTGTACCAATTAGGCCTACGTCACACTAAACGGAAATTCTGTCGCAGATCTTCTACGGCGGAACGCTAATACGTTTTATTGCATATAAATGACTAATAATGAGCACACACGCAGAAGATCGGTCAGTCCTTATGCGGACCCGTTATTAATTTCCGTCCAGTGTGGCATAGGTTTTATGATGATGGTCTTATAGTTAATGTCCGTGGTGCAGGCAAACATGTTTCAAAACTTTTACGTACATACTGATAGGATTTTGGTGAGTATAATTAAGTATTAGGGCGTCCAAACATCTTAACTCTGGGGAATATTTAGTTCGGGGCAGTTTCCCAACGTTGCTTTTAAGATACTATTAATTGTCTCTTTAAAACTTCGCTTTCTTTAGGTCCTGTTTGTTTTCTTTGTCAATCAAAGATGTCTTTGTCAACGAATCTAGTATTTCTAGCAAACCTGTAACTTTTTTTCTTTGAATACCGTTTTATAATAGACTATGTTGTACAATCACTAAGATCAGCCTAAGATAAATGTTTTTTTTTTAAATTTTATTTATAATTTTATTCCTTCATATTTATTGTACTAATTAATAAGTTAAGGGAACTTTGTTTTTTCTTTCATGAAAGCATTTTATTGTAATAATATAAAAGTACATGTTAAAACAATTTTTTTTAATGATTGGTTTATTATTTAAAACATAAATTCCTCCACTTTTTGTTTTTGATACTTAGAGCCTTTTTATTTCTGATATTCATGATTAACCATACCAAATTACAGCTCTTTATAATACCAATAGTCTCTAAACTAAGCCGTGGACAAACGGACAAATTGACAGATTTGGTAAACTATAAGCGTTCTTTGTTGTGTTACTACGGAACCCTAAAAACCTTCTTATCCTGACCAACATTTTTTTACTGTTCTAAACCAACGCTTAGCTACAATCCTACCTGATGGTAAGTGATGATGTAGCCTCAATTGGTGAATTACAATAAATACACTGAGTTAATAAAAACCTATTCAATCTTGCCTTGAAGACACGTAAAATGTAATCGGATGGAAAGACTGAGGTTGGCAACTTATTCCACTCCTTTGCTGTATGCATGATGGACTACGTAGCAAACCGTTTAGTTTGAATGCGTTGTGAGTCAACAACGAAAGGGTGGAGACTGGCCAAACGTCCGGTTGTCCGATGGTGGAAGGGAGAGGGAGGATTAAAATTATGCAATTCCTTCGCACACTCTCCGAAATGCATCCTGTAGAAAACCGAAAGGCTGGCCACTTTGCGCCTGTGTTTGAGGCTAGTAAGACTGGTTTTAACCAAATTCTGGTCACCAATAAGCTTCTTAGTGCTTCTTAGGGAAACTATCGGTATAAAAATTTTATATGGTAGCATCGCAATTAATTTGCCCGTCACCTCGTCTATGGCTAATTAAATTTAAATATATGTTCTGGTAACATTATCGGAAATATTTTGGACATATTTAATATTCTAAAATAGGCACTTTTTTATTATGTTGGCAATACACAACAAATACTTGATAGTACTAACTACGACCGGGCAAACGTCAGTGTTAAGGTTTTTCTTAGAAAATTGGTCAGTTTTTGGGTCCTGCTAAAGAATTTTTTGAATTTTGTCTACAAAAAAACCCGGTAAGTGGTATTTGAACACAGTTTTGAAAACTTTATTGTATTTTTTACAAGATAATGATAAATTCATGGCGTTTCAGTAATCGCAAATTAGATTTTTGGCAGTTAGAAAAAGTGGTAAATAGTTTACCAATAATTGTTATTGGAATAGTGTTAGATCACTACGTATATAAAAATGTATGTATGTAAATTTGTACACTTTATATGTTTTTATAAGTATATAAAAATATACATTTAAAGCTTACACGATTACTGTTCATTAAATAAAATAATAAATTGAATTTAATATTGGATTCTTTGGGGTGGCAGAACGGAATCTCCCACTTCGTCTATATATATATATATATTTTCATCCAACGTCACTTACAGGGCAGGTTTCTCGTTTCGTTGAAAAAAATTATACATTCGTTTCAGATATTCGCAAGTTATAATGGATAAGAAAAAAGAAAAATTGATTTAGGAAGAGAATTAGAAAATATAGTTGATCATCTAAATGATTTATCTGACTGTGATGACGAGGAAGATCCATGTTGGGGGGAGGAGGAATTGTAAGTAGCCCGTCTGATTCCTATTTAAATTTACCAGAGGAAAGCGTTATTGAAAAAAAGTTGCAAGAAATGTTTGGTTGTGAAGAAGAAGAAGCACTAAGACAAGAAGATGGAGACCAATATATTTCGGAAACTCTGATAAATGAGTTAGAGCTTACTAATTCTAACTACGGATTTCTATTACCGAATGCTGAAGCAAACTTGTTGTCTATTTCACCTCCCTTAAACTCTTACTCTTAACCGCCAAATGCTTCTGGAAATACCTCTTTATTGGTTAATCCACAAGCTGAGACTTATTCCAGCCGTCTAGACATTCATAACCCTATTGTTTCGACTCCAGCGCCGATCCACAAGGTAGAAATACTGACCGGACTACAACCGTCTAAACCACCGTAAGCTACGGCATCGGAAGATGATCTAGTGATAAGCGAGAATCCGAAGCTAATAACCTTCGAAGAAAACTTACTAAACTCTAGCCAAAATACGCTGAATGCTAATGATATAGCTTTGATTGCACCAGTAAGAACATTATTATTCTATCATACCCATATATCAAATACTGAATATATCAATTGAACCACGCAATAGTTACACGCATAAAACGTCGCCAATAGATAGATATTTTCTTAATTTTTTTAAAGAGTATATAGTAGAATTAATAGTACAACAAACTAATCTATACGCACAAGAAACACAAAATCATAACTGGACACCAGTATCGTCTGATGAAATAAAAGCGTATTTTGGTATACTGATTATGATGGGTGTTAATCCACACACCGATATAGAGTTATATTGGTGAATCACAACTAAATCACACAGTAACGATAAAACCTCATAAATAATTTAGGTTAAAATTAGCCCGTTCACTAATCCACAATTTAAAAGCTAAACAAAACAGACCCACAATTTTTAAAAATAAAAATGGAGATCATTTTAGCGTCCCCGTCGAGATCCGTCTTCTAAACGTTAGAATCCATATGCTAATGGAAAGTGAGACATATAAGCGGTGTAGGTTTTGTAGTACAAAAAAGATACAAAAACGCACTAAAATTTCTTGCAGCATGTGCAATGTGGCTTTGTGCGCAAAAGCCTGTTTTAAGACCTTTCACACTGCTATCAACCCTGATGCAGAATAAATCCCACTTTTGTCTCCAGTAGGTCTAGCACGATAAACATATCGAGATAACTCTCCCTTGATGTAGCATATCTTTCGTTTACTAATGTAAATTGAGACTATTTTATTCACGTAACGAAGGACTGTTGGTCTCATTTGAGGCTGTTCCTTTATTTTTGTTACTGTGTATCAACCTACTTGTTAATTAATTGCACGTTTTTAAAAATTTTCTTTTACGAAAAAGATTTCTAGTGTTTTATTTAATTATTTCTATGTTTTAAAAATTTTTCTTATCCGAAGAAAATTTCAAGTGTTCTATGTTTATAAATAATTAATGTTTAACAATAATTATCTCATTTATTTAAGTCTGAGGCTGTTTTCAATTATTTAGTAACTGTTAATTGTGTGTTAATTATTTGTAATACTCTGATTGGGGGTGTATAAAATTTTTTTTGATTAATGATTAAATTTTAGGATAAATTAAATAATAATAAAACATATTAGATTTATTTTGTTGAACTGTTTTTATTTATATACACTTATACTTTTATTTAATAAATACCCTTATACAATATCATCAACAGCCTTTTATTATGTCAACTGCAAGGGCGCGGCGTACCCTTAGTATGGAATTTCACAAAACTTCAAACCTCGGTAATAAAATATAAATTAGGTACCAATTGCGACCGAAGCAAGAGGCAGCTACTAGTATTTGGACAAAATATACCTGAACATACAAAGGTAAATATTTTACCACATACCTGATAAAAATTTGTGAGCATAACGGTTAAGGGTAAATTATTTAAAATTTGCACTAAAAATGAAATCTACGACCCCAAGTTACCCTTATCTCGCTCAAGCGCACTGCACGGTACTGTATATGTAGTGTTTCCTCCCCCGCACCAAAAGTGACAGAATTTTTTGTTCATAGCGTTAGGTGCATTACTCGTCCATTGGGTTGAATGGTCTAAGAGTTAGGTACATGTATTTGTAGGTATTTTTTTTTCACAATATCTTGTTAATTATTAAATCTGGTCACACTGCTGTTCTCGATCAAATGTCATGTCATTGTCATGGTTCTGTCATCTGATTCTTGTCATTGTCAGTGTCAGAAGCTCAAAAAAAGTCAGGTCATTTATGGACCGAAATTTACATTTTATGTAAAATTTGAACTAATATTAAAAAGTTATGAGGCTTACTTTTTGGCATCAACAAAATTTTGTTACGAAATTTATCGTTTAACTACGAAAGTATTATATTAACAATTTAAAATGATACATAGTTTATTTATAATTAATCCATCTGGGTAATTGTACACGTCTTATTTGCACTACATAAAATTTCAGTTGAACATTCTGATTGGTCAAAGAATTACTTGATATTTGTAATTACTATTTCAGAGATGTTTTTCTAGAGAAACATTGGCGCAGTGTTATACCCAGATCAGTATGTGACTATTATTTGGAAGCTCAGCGAGCATCACCAAATGTAAGTAAATATAAATAGTAAAGTTACTAGTAGGTCTTTTAAAATTATTATATTTTTTAATAAATTTGAAGAACTTTTTTGCTTATATTTACATTAATATTGTTTGTATTAAATTGACTATAGGTAAACTAGTTATAAAAGCTAAAATCTGGAAGAGAAAAAACGTTTTGTAATTCTGTATTTAAAATAAGGTATTTGAATTGAAAGTGGCACTATACCATGGGACTTGCATGATAATTCTGATGGAAATGTCTTTTTATATGATAATTGAATGATAATTTTTTTCTTATTTATATGATTATCGTATTATTTATTTCTTTTAATTGGCGGTATATTTTAAATACATATTTTAAATTTAAAAAATAAATATTTATTTTTTAAATTTAAAATATGTATTTATGTTATATGTTATATATATGTTATTTCTAATAATTTTAGACAATTGAATAATGTCTAAAATTATTCAATGTCAATATCAGTAATAATAAAGAGTCCATTAGACCAACTTTTAATCTTGCAAAAATTGACTGCGAACTTCCATTAGTTATAATCATCAACAAGGAAAGCATAATAGATTTACCATGGGAAAGATCTTTGTTTCAGAGTTCAAGAGTATTCTTTTAAAAGAAGCAGGAGTGTATAAGCTTAAAGACATATAACTGATATAAAGCATTGAGACTGGGAAGTGCAGTCTGTGAACATGTTCAAATTATCCCTACCATTACATCAGATTTGTTAAAACATAAACCCTTGCAAAAGAACACTAGTTTCTGCCAAGGATAATTTGCAAGGCTATTAAAACTTCAAAAGTTCAATAGAGCAGATATCTGTCGCATCTGCTTAGGGATCCTATAATTAATTAATTAAATACAAAGCCAAGCACACCACTGGTAGATTTCAAGATACTGTAAGTTCATTCTGCGTAAATTTGACCAAAAGTCAATATTCAATAGTTGTAGGTTCAATAGTCTATCTACCAATTAATAATAATAGTTAACTATGACATCAAGACGTCAAATACTTTAGTCACCCTGTGAATTAAAATAAGTAAAAAATAAGTTCAGATTAACTTCCATTCAGATCCTTTGCCGCTTCGCCATTTTCCAGTTCAGATGTCGATTTTACAATAAATTAAATACCAATAATTCTACTTGTATATTATTCTAATGTTGTACTTAGAAAAATACATTGTGCTTGTCACTGGCTGCACTCAATTTTTCTGTCTAGAAATTCTCTGGTTTCAATTTTAAAAGTTTTGTAATTAGATGGGGTAATTCATCTTTAAATACCGATAGCAGCAATAAAGTATTTTGAACTTCACAGGATGTTCCCCCAGTGCTTGCTGCTCCTCACCATTATTTAATATCTATACAAAGGGGTGGAGTGGCTCTGGTTGCGGTCAGTAAACAAGAGGTTGCACCTCTCTTCGTTATAGAGTTTCTGCACAGGGTTGTTGACACATTTCAGGTACTAATTATAAGATTGTCTGTACAATTAATGTATAATTTTTTTGTAATTTCAATTAAAGCTTTTACTAAGTTATTATTTCTTCATAATCAAAAGCTCAAAGCCAGCTGGATGTGAGCCTCTCGCATTGTAAGGTGAATTTGCCTTAATTGTCTACTTTATATATAATTTTAATACATTTACTGGTATTTATTTATACCCAAGCCCCTTGAGGAATGACAGTTAAAGAGAATATTTTATTTAAGAAGTAAGGGTGACAAACAAACACACAGTCCACCTGATGGTAAGTGGATGCTGCAGATTGTAAACATTACATGTATCCTTGATTAAAAATCAAAATGCAGATGTGTTGTCACCCCTAAGGACTAAAATGTAATTAATACCTTATTACCAGATCTTAAAAATAAAAAAAAATATGTCGAAGACATGTTGAGTCCACCAACATGAATTAAGACACCGTGGCAGCCTTTTCCTAGGCCTAAAATCTTCTTAGAAATGAGAGAAGGCCTGTGCCCAGGAGTGCGACATAGTAGGCTGTAACTTTAACTTTACCAGTGAAAAGGATTTTATTACTTATCATACAAAACAAAACAATAACACTGGTACTCAGTGTGATTGTGGTTTTTTTCTACAATTTTACCACATGTTTGAGTGTATAGGAAGACATATGAGGAAACCAGCATGTCTGAGGAATAATATATATAAAAAAAAAATATATATATATATATATATTGAAAATGTGAAGTGTGCCTGAACACATTGGTGCAGCACCATGTACTAATTGCTTCGTAACCCTCAGAAATAAGAGGGGGCTTGAGCTCATCTGTATGAGCTCAGCTGTAACTCTTTTTTACTTTATAATGATAATATAAAATAATTCTCAATTTATTTTACTAATACTACATACATTCAAGTTGTTTGTAGTCGTCATTTTAGCAGTGGACTTTAACAAATTGTAATGATTAAAAATAATGATTGATGATACATACATTTACTTTTGTTTCATTACAGGATTATTTCTCGGATTGTACAGAAACTATTATAAAAGAAAATTATGTTGTTGTTTATGAGGTAATTTTTTTTATAAATTAATATGTATTTAATTTTAAAGTTATAGATTAATACATAATAAAAAATTATTTTGTTTCAGCTGTTGGATGAGATGTTGGACAATGGTTTTCCATTAGCTACAGAAAGTAATATACTTAAAGAATTGATTAAACCACCCAACATACTCAGAACGATTGCCAACACTGTCACTGGGAAATCTAAGTAAATAAAATATATATGCAATTTTTTTAATTGTGAGATTTAGTGTAGTTATCTAAAATTGTTTATATTTTAGCGTTTCTTCAATATTACCATCTGGTCAGTTATCAAATGTGCCGTGGCGGCGGTCGGGCGTCAAATATGCTAACAATGAGGCATACTTTGATGTTGTTGAAGAAGTAGATGCTATTATAGACAAGAGCGGTGCCACAGTGTCTGCTGAAATACAAGGATATGTAAGTCAATAAGCAAATTGTTGAAGGCAATATTAGTTTGAGTACATTACAAATTTAAATTAAGTTATGTAAATAAATAATAGATTTCGCGTAGGTGATGTCATAGATTGCAGTCGATAGAATAGAACAGATAAAAATTTATGTAATGGTTGTGAAAGAAATGTTCAGTTTATGTAAGCTTAAAACAAATGTCAGCTAAATGGTCAGGATTATTCTTTCTTATCCCTTATCCAGGATTTGCCCTTTGACACATGTCTTAATCCTTCAAATATTAAGGAAATATTCACGCTAACTGATATACTTTTTACGTTTATAGGAATGTCCCGGGGGAATATATAATAAATCATGTCATAGATATTTATCTCTATGTATAAAAATCAATTACTGTCCGTTAGTCTCATTAAAACTTAAAAACGGTTCGACAGATTTTGATGATTTTTTTGTGTCTTTGAATGGGTCCCTACATGGTTTGGATTCACGTTTGGACCCTGTTGGTGGCGCTGTTATCGAGATCCAGAATTCATCAGTGCGTAACTGGGCAGATCTCTAGTAGTCATATAAACTAGGGATATCCGGTAACTACCCGGTGTTCGGTCTATCCAGCCTAAAATTACTATCTGGCCAAATACTTACTGGATAAAAAACAGCTATCCGGCCGGAAACCGGATTTAAAAAAAAAACAAAATATCGAATTAAATACTTCATTTATATCACTTAAAAATATAATCAGTAATCAAAAAAATTTTCATTTTGAAACTTACAGAATTAGTACTCGTACTGCGCTAAGGCACAGCATAAATAATAGTACTACGTAGCTAAGGGCAAATTATGATGAATGAATACTAATTTCTCTGCATCAAAAGGTAACACGCGGTTTCATCTGTCTTCATAAACAAGGCGAGCTTCAGAAAAAAACTTTCGCTGTACACATTGCTGCAGGGTACTGAAAGATAGATTTTTGCAAGCTTTGATAAATTTGGGTATTGTGTAGCAATACCTGCCCACCAAATATGAGGGTCACGATCGCGAACAGTTTGCACTGACTTTACTTTTCGCTTCTTGCGATGCAGCAAACGGCAATGTTCGGTAGAATATATCCGGCTATCCGGCAATAAGACTCGCCGAATATCCGGCAAAACTGCTATCCGTTTCATCTCTAATATAAACATCCTATTAATATATCTAAAATATTAAAAAATATAACTTATAAGAGAAAACCCAAAGTAAAGATAATGGCTATTTATTAACCCTTTAAAAATGAAGGAGACCTAATGAATAAAATGAATAAAGATAAATAGATGAATGAATGTTGAATGATGCTT